TCTCTCTCAGACACACACATACACACATATTTACAAACACACACACACACATACACACACACACACACACACACACACACACACACACACACACAAACACACACACACATACACGTACTCTCTCACTCACACAGAATAATATAACAGCTTCACCATTAAGAGATATCAACAACGAAACAGCCCCGCTTAATAACAAACGTATTTTCCAGCAAAAAAAGCAAATCTCTACCCTTTAACGTTGCCATACTTAAGGGGAGGACGATAATCGCAGCCGCCATTAACTCTGTTTGCCTTCTGCTTAAGAAAACAGCATTGTAGTTCCCATCTTTTGTTAACCCTTTTGTGCCGGTTGCTCAATATCCAACATTACGTCAACCCTATCCGTACGTCGTGTTTTACTATCGTATCCATACGATGCGGGAATTTCTGTCCCACCACTTTCCAAAGAGGAAATTTACTCGTTAATCCGATCCGTACGCTTTGCACAGCAGTATGTCAAAATGATTTGTTGGTTGTTTTTTTTTAAATACTGAAAGTTTCAAAGAGATTTTCATACTAGGAGTATTCTAAAATGTGAAGAATACAACCCCGGGGGTACAAAATGACCCCTGGGCGTACGGATAGGGCTAAGTCGTGCTTCGTACAACTGCCAGAATAAGCGCACCAGCATCTGTGAAGTAGCGGTTAGGCAGTTCACTGTCGCAAGCAGAAGACCCGAAAAAAGTTGTGACGATTGAAAACAGGAAGAAACCTAATTCAAAGGACATACTTATATCTTTTTTTTTGGAGGGGGGGTTCTTTAAAAAATGTTTTTGTCTTTTAAAGATTGTTCTTGAAACGGCAAACCGCTATGGTGTGGATCGTCTAAACCGAACAAATGATTCTGATCTCGATTATAACAGCACTCTGTCGAGAAATATCAACTGCAGGACAGATAATTTATTCCTTGCCGGCCGTCGACAAAGAAAGGAGTAAAAAGAAAATGTCCTGATAAAACGTCGCATGGGATTAGAACGTTGCTATTTCTGGAAGTTTCTGAGTACGCTGGGGTTTTATTGTCGGATTCTTTCTACTATGCACTGCATGGTGATCTGTTTTTCGTTCTGAAATGACAATTATACAATTATAATTTTGACGTTCAGTATCTCAGAAGTACCTCAAATTATACAAATAGAACCCTCTTAATGGCATACTACACTCAATACCCAAAGGGTTAACGAGAACTGTACCTCATTTATTTCAAATGTATACGCAATAAGTGTAACGTTTGAGTTTTCTGGTCTGGAGAGATTCTGATTTCT